AAATTTGCGAACTAGATAATTTTACAAACTGTGTTATCGCGAAAAAATTATTTGCAAACTGTAATCATAAGTCTCACACGATGATAATTACATATCGACTTCCGATTAGAGGTGCATATCACTCACTTGCATTCACTTCAAAACATAATTAACCTTCACCACTCATTATTCGCACTCGTCGCATCACTCCAATTTCGCACTGCACTTTTGCTCTGGTCTGGTCGTACGTTGCACACTAATTAAAAGTGTACGATGGGAAAAAGGAAAGGAAAAGCTGTTCGATCACTTGCCTCGAGTGACCCACAAATATTAATCTCTCTCTTAAAAAACCTACTTCAATATATGTACATACAGGGGGCGGATATGTAGTTACGAATAATATGTATGTAATATTTACCGAAAATTGACAAAATATTTATGAAATAAATATGCACGAAAAAAATAAGAATTTTACCAAAATTTGTATTTCTGAATATAATCTGTCGATTTATTTCGGAAATATTGATATGTCTGAAAACCTAGAAATATGTGAGAATATGTCAAAATATTTGTAATTTTTGTGATCTATGCGAAGTAAGAAACATACGGACAAAGTTTGACCGTCGGTCGTCATCAAGTTAAAAGTTGAAAATAAATACATATCCGCTCTCTTTAACGATATATATTCTTACTTTTCGTACTTTACAGAGAGGATGTGTCATACCTAGAATTTTGGTCGTTATTTCAGTTTAGCTTTTTCAATTTACAAAATATATTTTAGTTAAAAATTAACCCAAAAATTGGGATTATTTCAAAAATAAAACTAACTCCCCGTTCAAAAATAGTGATTCAAAGTCAAAATTTGATTGAAATTATGGAAACTTTGACCTTTTGAACCGGTAGAGCTACTGGGCTCGCTTTATTTTTGAAATAATCCCAATTTTTCTGTTAATTTTTACCCAAAAATTTCTACCACACTAAATATTTCCCAAACCTTTGCCACGTCTTAAAAAGCTGGTTATCCCGGCCAAAGCAGTGCCCTACTTGACCTCACATCCTTTCCGCACCGCCCTTGAGCCCAACATCACATCACATCAACTCTAAAGGAAATGCTTCAGTTTTAATTTCAGTTTCATTTATGTTTTCCTTTTTCTCTTTGCGAAAACAAAAACGAGACTAAATTGCAATTTATGTACGTACCGTCGTCGCTCGTGGAAAAACACGTGTGAGAAAATAAGCTACACTTTCCCTTAAAGGCGGACAGTGATGGGTTCCTTTTTTTATTTGTGGGGATATAAATCTTGTCGTCCACTAAATACGAGCAAATTGTGGTGGTGACCTTTTAACACGACACATGCATAACGTTTCGTGGGTGGGTGGGTGTAAGGTGGCAGACAGGCGGAAAGTGAGGGTCATGGTTCATCGTCTGTCTGTCTGAGTAAGCGTAAAATATGTCTCAACTATTGCCAAAAGTGTGGATATGCATAAAATTTGTAACAAATCTCTCATTGTGTATGTAACTTAAGAGTAAATATGCTAAATTGAGTAGAGGGCGGATATGTATTTATCTTGAACTTTTTCATGATGCTTCTAGGTTTTCAGACATATAAATAGTTCCGGTATTATTTGAAAAATACGGAAATGTTTTACGTATTTTTTTCAAAATTATATATATTTTTCACATATTTCAACCATGTGAGACGAAATTTTGCTTGCTCAAAGAAATTCGACCACAATAAATACAAAGTATTAAATTCAAATCAAAAGTGCAAACTTTTTGGAAATTCTTATTTCTACATGTGATCTTTTTTCGTACCTATTTCTTGAATATTTTTTACACAAATCTGAACCATCCACAGAGCTGTATATAAAGCGGCCCTTTCTCTCTCTCTCTCATATTTAATTTTTTCAAAATCTACCCAAAATTTTTGCAAGATCTTCATCAAATAAAATTCCATTATTTAATTCTCCCGGAAATAATTTAAGTGGAAATAAGTTCCTGTAAAAATATTTTTTAGCTCGGGTACCCATCAATATTTCGAAAAATGTTATAAAAATCTATCAACCTGAATCTCTATTTACATACCTAAATAACAAATTGAATTAATTTCCCCGGAAATATATAATCCTCTCCCTCTCTCTCTCTCTCTCTGTCTTATAATTTCAAACTAAGCCCAGCCTTGTTATAAATAAGTGGATGCATGACAATTAATTATATTTATTACTACCTCGTAATTCTTAATTTTTTTTCACCTGCCACAATTAGGTATTTATGGCTGTTATCGTCGTTCCTTAGCAAGGGAGAGGTAAACAGGGATGGAAAATGAATAACAGGACGACGACAACGTTAATCAGCATGAAATCAAAAGCGTCTCTGACTGAGGATCATTTACATCTCGACGTGTAGAGAAAGAAAAGCTGTTTAAATTTAAAACTTCAAAAAGTGGGGTAGATGAGATCGGTGTGAGAATAAGGTTCTGATTTTCGTGACTAATTATCAGCCGAGGCGACGACGAGGAGATGATGAGGGCTTAAAAAATCCATATAAATAAACCAGCCGCTAACAAATGAGCAGGGTTTCACGTGTCAAGTTGTAATCAAAGAGATGGAATTGCACCAGAAATTTTCGAAAATAATTTCTTAACTGAAAGGATCAATTTTTGTCAATCCTGCAACTTTTAGAATTTTTAAAATATGTTTTACTAAAATTTGAAAAATATGCTGGTAAGTAAACCATTAATTTTTTAATTCACATTTTATTCATAAAAAATGTGTATTTATTAAAATTGTACACAATTTCTTAAAAAATAACTACTTTAAAATCAAAATTTAAAATTTCTTAAAGAAATGTAATACTGATTTTTTTTATATTCCATTTTTTGCATGTTTCAAATAAATTATTTATACAAAAATACGTATTTAAAATTATTTAAAAAATGCTTAAAAAGTATTTATTTAAGTAGTATTTAAAAATTCGTATTAAAAAGGCACAAAATTCCCATGTACAAAATTTCGTAAAAAATTCCCCCATAAAATAAAATTACTTCATAAAAAACACCACCACCTTTTTTTACGAAACCCTTCCTTAAACCGACACGATTCTCATTTTTCTCTTTATGCAGCCCATTGTTGTCCTTCTCATCGTATGCTCATTTAATCGTCAAGTGTTTATTGTTGTGATGTGATGACAATTCCGTAAATAAATTCGCACATTTTTATTTATAAATCACACACAACTTTTTTCTTCTAATTTGTCGGGTTGATTTCACGTAAATTATGGGATGCGCAGTTTATTCTTGGTAATTGCAAAGCACACACAGCATCGTTTTTTCTGGCATTAAATTTGCCTATTGTTGTTGTCACACACAAGTCTTATTTTTAGTCGCTAAATAGATTGGATAGCATCCCTTTTTTAGTTTAGGGGTCAGGTCGCCCTTGTTCAAATAAAAGTATGTTTTTTAACTGTATTCAGTTTTTCCGAGAAAAGTTTCTGTAACTTTTAAATATTTAGTTTTTAACTGGTTTAAGATTTAAAATTTTTTTGACGTTTGTTTTTACGTACTTTTAAAAATGCGTAGCCAATTTTTAACTTAATCTGTAAACCAGCTGTACATTCATATTGAACAAACCGGGCTAAAAATTGGCTACGAATTTACATACAATTAGAAAAAATACTAGAAATTTATGTAGAATTGTCTGACATAAAATTTGAGGTTTTCATATTCTCAGAAATATTTGAAAAATTTTCAGGTACTTTTAAAAAATGTTACAAATAAGTACATAATTTAATTTAATTTTAGCTCAAACTGTCAAACAAAAACTATCTATTTTTTTACACCATTTAAAATTTTTGCGAAACACAAATCTCAAATATTTGAAAACCTCCCATCTGACTAGGCAACCTGTAACACCAACTATTTGACTTCTTAATCCCCCCAAAACGGATCCCCGCAGGGTCCTTTTGCAAAAATACGCCAACTTTTACCTTCTATACATGCATACGTGTGTGTCTATCTGTCAAAATTAAAAGCCTGAGAAATGCTGCAGCATGCCCAATAATGGATTCGCATCATTACTCACAGAATTAAAAGTAGTAATCACACGCATTTAGATATTTTCATAGTGTTGTGATTTCCATTCGTCGTCCGTGTGACGTCTCTCTCTCTCGTGTAAAATTATAATAAACAGTGCTTCGTTTCCTGCGGGTTTGTCACATTTCTTGTAGAGCAATGCAAGAAATACGAGGTGCAAGAAAGTGCCAGAAATCTGTACAATCTCGCCGTATGAACTATGCGCGACGGGGCTTAGTTTCTTGCACCTTGCATTTCTTGCAGGTCAAAATAGCTGAAAAAAGCCACTTTCTTGCCGTTATTTCTTGCACACGAACCTGACTGTAAATCCCGCTTTTTCCCATTGTAAGCAGTATTTCGTTTCTTGCAATAAAACTACAATTCTTGCACTGCAAAGCAAGAAATGCGAGGTGCAAGAAATTGCATTAAAGTGCAAAAAATGTACGCAATTTTTTTCGCCATGCATTTCTTGCAGGTCAAAATAGCTGCAAGAAACCACTTTCTTCCCGTCATTTCGTGCAAGCGGTTACTTGGACGCGAAACACTGATAATAAATCAAATAGAAATTCACTCATGTTCATTAAGCAACCCGCGTTAATCACATGCATTGAATTGCGGAGAATAGAAAATCGAGGCCTGTAATGGGCATCGTTTGATATTGAACTTGCACATGTAGAGAGAAGAATCGAATCGCTGGGGGTGCTTAGCAAGGGCTTCGCAGAATGGATGGGTGGCAAAATTAGACACAATCTCTGACACGCGCTTTCTGCATGGCTTGCACATTAAAAAGGTGTCAATCGCAGTATGAAAAAAAATCAGTGTCATCAACGTCATGATTATGATCAAGTATTTAATGAGGATGATGCAGAAATAGAGAGGCGATTCATGCAGGTCTTGGTAACTTTGTAAAATCCGTAAATAAAATTTTACAAATGAAGGAAAATTTGTAAGTTAATTTTTCTAAGTGTGATCTTTATTTTGTAAAAGCTTATAAAATTCGGTGACAAATTTGTGTATTTTTTTCCTTAAATTTTTCAAAGTTTGTTTAATTACAGTGAAAATTTAGTACTTGTTTAAGATTGCAAATTCTTCCTCCTGCCTGAATTTTTACTTTGGAGGGACGGCGACGACACATAATTTGAAGTATTTATCTTGGGCTGATTAGCACATGTGAAACTTGGCGGTGCAAATGGCGGTGCAAATGGAAAAGTAGAAAGTTATTAGTCCAGAAAAGACGTGCTAAAAGGCTTTTGAAATTTGGAGGCCGTGCAAAAAATTTCGTAAAATTCAGGAATACGTACGACACGACGTTTGCACTGCCAAATTTAGATGCTCATGTAATACGCTCGCCACACCCTCTGAAAAGGACACCAATAAAAAACTAAAATTTGCTAAAAATCCAAGTTTGAATATTCTTTACCATAGTTCCTTTATCGCTCTTGCAGCTTTTTAAAAAATTTTAATATTTTTTGAAAATTTTCTAATGTACATGCATATCGTATTTAAAAGATAAGTTGAGTTCCCTTCTGCAGGGCCCCCATACATACGTTTAGACTGACCACTGTCTCCTGCTCCTGCCCGAGATGAGTGAAGCCGACAAGACAAGTAGATAGATAAGCCGTCTCTCTAAATAACTCGGCTTCCATTTCTTATGTAGACCTGAATAGATGTAAAATCTTCTCTGGGCACAAAACTTCTAAAGCCTGAGTCGCAATTGGAACTAAATCATCATTAAATTCAAGTCACTTCAAGAAATTCAATAATCACGAAAACCGGTAATAAATAAAATCATAAAATAGAATAAAATGAGACTGACCCCCAAAAATGCGGCTCTGTAGATAAATCATACTTATAAATTTCATCAAAATTTTAAAATCTTGGATGAAAAGAGATTCGAAAAATAAAATTTGGTGATCTCATCTCCCATCCATCACACATAATTAAGGACGATGTCAACATAAAAAATGTAATAAAATGACGTTGAACTTGTCACCAAATCCTCAAATAACGCAGAACGAAAACATATGTACATAAGTACATATGTACATCGTCTCATTTTCGTATCTCGAAATGCAGAGGGGAAATTGAGACGGTACTCGCTCCGCACGACCCCCAAGACGAGATATTACTGTGATGAAAGGGTTACAATTAAATATTAGTGTGTAACGCGATGTAATATGTGTAACCATTATCCCGAGATTAACAAAATACCCCCAGCTAGGCGGGGACCCTGCAAAAAGGATGTTATCAAATTCATTCAACGTCTCTTAAATCTCAATTTTTCACATCATCCCCCCAAATCAAACTTTGACCTTCAATAACTACTCCTGAACGGGCAGAGTTACCGAGTTAATTTTATTTAAAAGAAATATTCATACTTTTTGCGTGGATTATTTCCCTAAAATATCTACATAATGCACACATATTTCACAAATCGGTGACACATATGTACATGCCGTGTTTGGGGTGCAAGAAATAACTATAGTCCTTACGGCGTGTGGTTATGTGGCGCGTATTTCTTGCATTTTCTTGCAATTTCGTGCACCTCGCATTTCTTGCATTTCTTACTTTCCAGTGCAAGAAATGTAGCAAACCAGCAAGAAACGAAACACAACGTACATGTTAAAGGTTTGTCAAAAAATCATTTAAAAAATCGATCCCATCCAGTGTTTCGCTTGGCAATAACCGGATTGGCCAGACCGCCGGTCAAAAGCGGCCAAAAGTGGCTTTTGACCACTTACCAAAAAAGGTGGCAAATGGTCAAAAGTGGCCAAAAGTGGTCAAAATGCAAAAATGGGGCATTCTGCGACAAGGAATAATGATAAGTTAATGATTTTACTAAGGACATTCAGGATTTCATCAGGATCTAGCAGAACAAGTTGTAGGCTCCTTATCGCTGTTTGATTGGATCTAAAATTTTAAAATTGGTTTTTATCTCTACAAATAAGCAATAAATTACAAATTGCATCATTAATAATTGACACAGGAATAGTTACGACTTGACCAATGAACCATTAAAATATTCAAGTATCAAGCAAATGTATACATTACTTACTGTATTTGTCCAAGTTGAATTTATTAGATTAGTAATTATTACAGACTATTTTAATTACTTTGTAAGAACTATGGTTATTTTTTGTGCAAAGAATAAATAATACCGGCCGAGAGTCTGTTTAAACCCGCCGCGCAGACCATTAGCCAATAGAATACTTTTGACCACTTTTGACCATTTTCTACCATTTTGGCCACTTTCGGCCACTTTTGACCACTTTTGACCACTGGCCAACAAAAAACGATTTTAGCCGGCAAAAGCGAAACACTGATCCCATCCTTTCCGTCGTGTCCACCCATACACATATATACTACACACCTGAGTAGCTCTTTCTCGTTGGTGGCACTGCGAATAAGTTCGTATTGGCCCACTACTCCAATAACATACATTTGACATGTTTCTTTCTCATATTGAATCGAATCTTCACAGCGAGCCAAACCAAAATGCATGTATGGCTGACCACCACAAGTAACCAAACAACTTTTTCCATCACTTGGTCCTCCTTCCTGCAACTTCTAAGCGACTCAAATGAAATGCATTCTCGTCGGACCGGGCAGAAGGGATGGGACTCTTTTTCGCCAAGGGAATCATGTCCGCGTGACAGTGGTCACATTCGTCTCGTTTGACCCCCGAGATGCAAATACGCATAATTAATCTCTCTCTCTCTCGTAGCTAGTAAGCACTTGCACATCTTTTCTTTGGTGAGATTGGAGTATGTACAATGCACCAGCGAGACCAGACCAGACCAGACCACAAATTACCACCTTTTCTTCTGCTGCAAGGGCATTGCCTTCCACTTCGAATATTTACGAAGGTGCGGCAAAATAAACGCCAATATAATGAAATGGACTGATGATGCGTAAATAAATACTTGAGGGGATAATAGTTTGCTGGGAAAATTGGACATTTTACGACCTTTAACTTCACGTCGGAATGATGCTGATTTCTGGAATCAATTTATGTACGTTTAAAACCGTGAAAATAACAAAAAACGCACTTTTTGACCTCGTTTTGGGTTTGTTTGAAAGACAAATTGATCACTGCTTTTCTTCGTTAATAATTTATTAACCTGGCAACTTTTATGTATGGCTTTCGTTAATAGAAATTTGTGCCACGAGGAGAAACAGATGTTCAGAAGCTTAATAATTTTAGGAACAGTTTCCTACGGAGTTTCCCGGGTTGAAATGAAATGTTCCAAAATTAGAAATCAAAATTTGTGTGATTACGAAAAATTAGAGAGACAAATTACATAAAATTAAATAGGCAGACAAATTTTGGCCCTGGTACAAAATTAGATACCAATTTTCACTTGCTTGACAATATGTCCCAAAAATTCAAGTCTTTCTCGTCACTCCAGAATTATCACCTCCAGAATGGTCGACGATATGATAAATGAAATTGATGAAATTTCGCAGAAAAATTTTCTCCCTTTCTGGACAAATTTGGCAAAATTCGCATCACATTAAAAAATCCATCTGCCACCTCCAGAAAATCACGTTCCCATTAAAATCTTGCACATATGATATGTGTCATATCTCATAAAACACATACTATATCTCATTACATATAATCTAACATACTGGCTGAAAAATTGGGGTCTCAGAATATCCAACACCACTATTATTCAACCACCACCACCAAATATTTAGCGAGTATTTAGCATTTCATTAATTTTTAATCATCAGAGAGAGGTAAACTTGTCGAAAACTGCTCATCCCGATCTTGAGTTGGTCAACACGACGACCAAATCGGACACATCGCTCGTATCCCTCGTCACGAAAAACTTTCTTGCTCCAAACAAATGAATGTTTGCGATGATGATGAATGATAAATAATAGGACGCCATTGTGCCTGCCTGCTTGCCATCTACATCTGCATGTAGTGTTCTCCCACTAATTTTAATTGCCTCAAGACAACCGTTTAAATCCCTGCGTTTTGTTTGATGCGAGTTGAATTGTATGCAGAGAGAGAGAGATGATAAATGATCAGGGTTACGATTAGTAAAAAAAAAACTTATTAATATGAAAAAGTGGGGTTTTCCATATTTTTACCACTACTCAAAATATGTGGGAAATGAGAAAAAGTGCATTTTTCCAGTTTTCTTTACATCATCCGAATTGGTGGAGAATTGAAAAAGTGTATTTTTCCCATTATTTTTACCAATTTCCGAATTTATGAGAAATCAAACAAGCACATTTTACTCACTTTTTTACCATCACAGGAATAGACAGGGAATGGAAAATTGTGCATTTTTCCTATTTTTACTACCATTCAAATAGCTGGGAAATGGAAAACTGGATTTTTCCCACTTTTTGCCATAATCTGAATTGGTGGGGAATTTTTTTATAAAAAAGTGCTTTTAATAATATCCCCTTTAATTATCTGCTCTTATCAAGACCCAATCACCCACTTTTTCCCACCTGTACTGGCAAAAAGTATGCCAAAAACGAAACCCTGTAGAAAATAATAAAATCGTTTTCAGTAGTTGGTTTGCTTTTGTGTAGTGGTCCGACCAACTCGTTCATAGATATTTATTTATTAAAATGTGACAAATGAAATCCTCGCATAATTTATGACATCTTTTTAATCAGAGAGAGAGAGAGAGAGAGAGATGGCTCAGCAATTAAAATGTGCATGCACAACCTTCAATTCATTTTCAAAATATGTTGATATTCACTCTTTTTTCTTCTTGGCGTAATTTACATCTTTTTCCGGCTTCGTTTCACCCATCCACGCCGGCACGATGTGTGTAATCAAAAATGAGATGGATGGGTTTTTTTCGTGTAATCGCGTAATCTCATTTCGCCACGGATTTATTAGATTTATACCAGTTTTTAAAATCCCTTTGGGGACGTTATTTGGGGGACTTTATTTACTGGGGGGGGGGGGACTCAAGGGTACCTATTTTTTGGGGGATATGACCATATTTAATCATCTTGGGTACATCATTTTTCTGACACAATTTATTTTTAGCTAATGTAACATGCATACATTTTCTGACTGATTTTTTCATTTTTTTCAGGCGATATTTCAAATTTTTTTAAAACCCCTTCTCCTTATTACATAAATCATTTATACAAATTTGTGCTCTCCCTCGATACTTCGAAACCCATTTTTCTAGGGTTATCATTTAGTCGATGTAATAATAAATAGATCTATAAACATTTTCTACCAAAATTTTTCGCTTTTTCTCCAAATTTCCTAAAATTATAGTTGACTAGGTATTAAAATTCTGGTAATTTTGTTCTCTCTTTCTCATATTTCGATACCTATTTTTTAAGAATTGTCATTTATGTAGTTGATAAATTTGCATATATTCCATGAAAAAGTTTCAGACCAAATGTCCCAAAATTCGAGTCGACCACGTGTCAAAATTCTGATATATTTTTTTTCTCTCTCTCAATATTTCGACAACAACTTGACCTCCCCAAGTCATTCGATCTACTGGTCATACATAACTACACATACATATGCCCAGTAACGTAACCCTTTACATTGTTAAATGCCAAGACATATTGGCTCAGTTGTCTATGGAAACATGATAATCTTCACGATTTCATTTCTAAAATTTCTCTTTGTCGAGATTCGAGTTCTGCAGGAGGCAGTGGTCGTGGTGGTGTTCCTACATGTGTGGACTGCACCCTCCTCCTAATTCCCATTAATTCCTCGCGCAAATACTTTTACGTGGCAAATAACAATTGTTGTTTCTTAACATTTAAATATTCATGCGGCGTCTCACGTAATGCATACGCAAGCAAGTATCTAACGGGAGGAGGAGGAGGATTTGTTGTTGTTGGTGTGGATGGCATAATAATTTCTGATAATGTGTCTCTCTAGAGAGAGAAAAAAAGTAGGAATATCTATTTTCGAATTGGAAAGCAGCAGGACCAGTCAAGAGGTCATTGACGGCGGTGGACAGTTTATAGTTATCCATTCGTTTCTCAAAGGTATTGTTTTCAATGGGAAATAAGCAGAAATTATGGAGGGATTATTTTTTTGGGCGTATTTTCTCATATTTTTAGAGTTGTACATATAATGGAGAGGGTGTGAAAATTAATGGCCAGAATTTTTAGGGGCTAAATGACCCAGACGTTTATTGTGGTGTTGACCTTATGGTCAGTGATCGGCATAATGCGACCCAGTGGCAGCGGAAGCTGTGGGGACATTAACATTGTAGGATAGGGAAGGGTTTATATAACATGGGCAAATAATGGGGGCATCGAATAACCGTGGGGACATTGTCCCTCTGTTCCCACGCTTCCGCGGCCATTGTTGAGACCATCGACCAATTGGTCGCAAAATAGACTACGGTTCACCCAATATTAATAGTATTAATTCCTACTTTTCTGAGAGGTTATTTGGTCGCTAACTATTAATATAAAACAATCTGACAGGAAACCTTTCAGATTTTTTTGTGACTATTAATATTGGCTGGACAGTAATTATCGAGCCACGATGTCGATCACTGCGGGCTAGCGCACATTCGTTCGTTGGCCTTGTGAGACATTAATTTAAATACGGTCAAATAAGGCACATCTCATAACTAGTTGTCGTGGCATATGTACAACTCTGGTCTCTTTGGGGGGACACAAGTTGATCACATCTCTGCCGCATGACCCCCTCAACTTGACCGAATGTTTGCCAAGTACGTCACGTTTATTCGTGCACGTATCATCGCCACTCGTGGAAGGAAAACTTATCAAATAATATTTTGCGATGGATATGTTTCTAATTTGTAAAATTTCTACTTAAATACAAATTCATTTATGAAAGTATGTATGTGAGATTGAGGGAAAACACGTGTTTCTCAAGTAGGGAAAATTTTCTAAATAATAATAAAAACTCAATTTGAGAGGTCTTCAAAATCCGAAATACTTAATTCAAATTTGGTAAATTGCGACGATTTCAAATAAAATAATTCTATTTAATGAAAATCTAACAAATTGGTAATAAATGGGAAATTGCTAATTTCGAAATACCAAAAACATCGTCTAATTTACTACAAAATATGATTTTTTTACAAAATAAGTTACTACCTAAAATTTTCTAAGTTCAAAAATTTCAATTATCAAAATTCAAATTTAACGTCCAAAAAATGTCTATTTTTAATAAATGGTTTACTCTATCGACGCTTCTAAATTTAATAATTTTGTTAAAGGCAAATCTAACAAATTCTCAAATAAATTGAAAATTGCTAAATAATTCTGATTTTCAAAATACCAAAAACATTGCCGAATTTAGTACAAATAAACCGTCGCAAACGCTCATACGGAAGTAGCTTCAGTCTCACTTCACCCCAACCACTCCTACGATGGCACAGGAACACTTAGTTTCACTGTATTTCATCCATTTATTCAATTTATCTAAAAATCTCATTTTGCCCCGACCACACCCCCTGGCTCCGAGGGGGTGTGGCACAACTCGGGATGACTTAATTTCACTCTATTTCATCCATAGATCAAATTTCACTAAAAATCTCATTTTGCCCCGACCACACCCTCTGGCTCCGAGGGGGTGTGGCACAACTCGGGATGACTTAATTTCACTCTATTTCATCCATAGGTCAAATTGCGCTAAAAATCTCATTTTGCCCCGACCACACCCCCTGGCGCCGAGGGGGGTGGTCCGGTTGCCCCCAAAAGTTGATAGGATCCTCCCCCTAGGGTCATATGTATGATGGCGAAAACCGATTTCGATTATCTCAATCCGTTCTCCCGTTATCCTGCTGACAGACGGACGGACAGACAGACAGACAGACAGACAAAGTCTTCGCATAAAGTAGCTGAAGCTACTTAATAATGACTTTTGACAAACCAAGTTACTACCTAAAATTTTCCAAGTTTGAACATTTCAGTACCTAAAATTAAAATTTAACTTCCAAAAAAATGTCTCCTTTTAATAAATGGTCACTCTATCAACGTCTCTAAATTAAATAATTTTCTTAAATGAAAATCTATGCAAGACAATCAATTTCGCAAATAAATTGATCATAATTATTCCCTATTAATTTCAGAATTGAAATGACACCAGCGATTTGAATGAAAAGAAACCACTTATTAGCAATTATCGATCCCTCGACTGACACACACACACTCGCTTCATCATTAAACGAGAGAAAATGTGAATAACTTTTCGAAAGAGAGAGAAGTCATTAAAGATTCGAAATTGAACTTCAACTTGGTCAATTACAATCCCAACAATGACGACGACGACGACGACGATCAGCATTTCATGATGAATTTCAATGGTGAGGAGGAGATGCAATCCCAACAAGTCTTCGTTCGTCTCACTTTTCTGCACTACACGACCATCTTCGTCTCACTTTTCTCTCATCCAATCCATCAAGGGGGCCTGCAGGAAGGGTGTCAACCAGAGGAGGAATCACTGCAGTAATCAACAAAAGCTGGATGCATATTGTATTTTTCTAATTCATTATTATTCTAATCCTGCAGAAAATTTCTATCGGTTTTGTTCTGTAGAACGTAGAGTTCTCAATGGTCCGGATTGGTCCGGATCAGCCCTGATCCGAAACCGGACCGTGGCCCGAAACCACCAATCCGAAACCGGACCGAAAAATTTCCGTTCGGCCCAGAACCGGACCGGGACCAGACCAGGACCGGACCGGTCAATCCGGGCGGACCGAAAAATATATCATTATAGTATAAAGACCCATAGTACAGTATAATAATTATCACATATAGTATGTATAAATAGTGCATTGAGATTTATACACGTATTATGCATAAATGTCTTATGTAACTATGCATAAAACATATGGTACATGTATATATAGCCAGAATGCCAAATTTTTCAGATTTAAATAGATACATGTAGCGGATGAGGTCTCGTACATAAGTTCTATCGGTCAGTGAGTTTATACACATAATCTCAGGACCAATTTACAATTTCATTTTTTTAATTTTAAAAATACATTAGCAAGAGTAGGAATTTAAAAAATCCTCCCAAAATCAAGGAGCGTAAAAACTTTAAAACCTAAAAAACGTAATTTTTATGGATCATGTGGGAGCAAGGCCAAGTGTACTGTGCAAATCCTTTTCGCATCGATGTCACCGAATTTAATTTAAAAATTGCAAATTGAATTCAAGGTGCAAGGATATATATACCATTACGATTTTTGAAATATGTGCATCTAACCCCCTTTCAAAAATGGGGGAAGAAAATTTGGAAAAATGAGAAAGTCAATGTACACTCCGTACAACAAGAGTGAGACATCAACTTGCATTTGACATTCGAAATCCCTCTTGAATACGAGCACTTTTTTGTATCAAGAGTTTCAAAATTTGAAAATTTGCGTTTTTTTACGTACATACAAATCCCCAAAAAACTCATGGTTCCCACACTTTGCAGTCTGGCAACCTAATGCCAGAATTTTCTCCTTCGAAAGATGAACATTTTAAGCTTTTGTTGTCAGACTGCAAAGTGTGGGAACCATGAGTTTTTTGGGGTCAAAGTTTCTGGGGGAGGGACTTATTTTTGCAAGAGCCGTAACAAACTATTATCACTTATGAGAAAATGAGACATATAATTGAACTTATTAAAATTTGTGATATCTGAATTACTAATTCGCCCCAAATTTAAAATTTAAGTTTTTTTGAATTTATAATCTCGGTCAACAATATGCAAGAGTGAGAAGTGAGACAGACCACCATACGGCACTGTAGCAACGACAGTCAGCAGTGGTGGTGGATACCCACCAGAATCAGATTCTCACTCTGCCTCTCGCTAAATATGGAAAAGAGTTTTGTAGTACGCTTGGTCTGGTTCAGTTCGTGGAGAACTTTTGAAATATATGTAACATAGAATTTGCGTACACTGAAAATTCATGAGTTTGGCTGAAAAAATTCAAAAATTCTAGGTCAAAGTATTCAAATTTTCTTGCGCGCCAAAATATTCGGGCGGACCGAAAACCGGCGGTCCGGTCCGGTCCTTGAAAAGCTGATCCGAAACCGGACCGAGGACCGGACCGAAACTTTCGGTCCGGATTGGCGGATGGCCCAATCCGGGACCGAACCGTCGGATTTCGGTCCGGTCCGGGCTAACCCGAAGCCCATTGAGAACCCTAGTAGAACGGTATGAAAATCGTAAAGTTTAAGGTTACAATGGGTGTCGATTTGATGTGGGATAGATTTTTAAGCTCAAATTACACTCTACCCGCATTCTTTGCATATTTCGAAAATGGTTCAATTTTAACTTTTCATACTTTACTGTAAGGTTAGTTTTGGCACTACGAAACGATTAATTTTAAACAAATTGCTACTTCACGTGCCATTTTTTCACAATAAATTCCCGCAAAAATTTTTAAAATCGATAGTTTTGCAGTGCCAAAAATTACCTTTACATTAAAGTAGAAAAAATTGCATTTATCTCAAAACTCATGAAATTTATGCCATTTTAGAAGTTTCAATGTCAATAAATTACTACTTCTAAATTGGCGATGGATTTTGGACACTGATTCGCCAAGGAAATTTCTAACTACATCTCTTCTGCGGAGCTCCTCTTTGCCAAACAACAAATAAAAACAAGTCACAATAAAATGCATCATAGATAATTAAAGTTGTTGTACATGAGAAGAGTAGCAGGAGGAGGAGGAGCGGAATGGTCATCATGTAAATCATGTGGAAGAATCGATATTAAACTGCTCAATATCAAGTTATTACCAGAAGCCGGATAGGTATTTATTTACAACTTTTTCATTTGATGATGACCACCGGTTTGTGGGTGTGTTTTTTTAACTTATGCAGATCACTAAAATTTCAAAATATGCGTACATATTTCTAGGTTGTCAGGCATAAATATTTCCACTTTTATTTTAAAAATACTGGAATCTTTAATAGTTTTTTTTAATATAGGCGTATTTTCTAAATAATTCAACGACTTGAGACGAAATTTTGCTTCATAAAGAAACTTGACCACAAAAAATCCAGAGTATTAAATTCAAAAGTACGAATTTTTAGAAAATTCTTATGGTCTTTTGTGGTACATATTTCGTAAATATTTTGACGCTTTTTTCCTAACTACATATCCGTCCTTTGGTAATGAGTTTCCAATCGGAAAACGAATCTCTCTCTGTTTCTGTTCTACGACCCAATTAAGCATTCATTATTATTTGGCTGCATGCATTGATTTGACGTCGACTTGATCGAAGAGGAGAAAACAAAGCAAATCAAGACAACCTACAAGAATGCAATGTGAGGTTCAGTATCGCCATTAAGGAAGGAACAGGGTGCCATGCGTGGAAGTAATCCCAACTAAAAAATGTTCGTAATATTTGATTAGCCAGATTAATGTAGTAAGGATTAATATATAGATTAATTTTCGGGATTAGTGATTACTATGATGTAATAATGCTCTTTTAGTAATTACATCAGAAATACTTCACATTTTACATTGACAGATTAACCAGATTAATGGATTAAGGATTAATTCAAATTTTGAAAAGTATGGATTATTATTAATTCTTAATCTGGTAAATAATCTGTTAATCCTAATCAGAGATACGGAATATTTTACATCAACGGATTGATCAGAAGTCATGGAGGCATTACAATTTCTGCAATTTAGGATTACCGTTAATCCTTAATTGTTAAATAATTTGTTAATCCTTACTCGGATTAATCCCAGCTCTGAATTTGGGACAAAACACCTGGACAAAATCGTACCCTAAAAATTGTTTCCCAAGAATCAGACATTGCTAATTTTGTGTCCACCGAAACCCTGTCATAATTGACGACACGGCTGAGCTGACATAGTATAATCTGCGCTGCGAAAGTCAAGTCAAGTGAAGTCAATTGTCTTTTCCTCCTCCTAATACACTGACAAGCGAAATGTAACAAAGGTGCGAAACCATAACCAAATTTTGAGACAATATTCAAATTATCTTGGATAACAGAAACAAAAATAAAAGAATTTTCACATATTAGAAACACATTGACGAAAACTGTATATTGAAATTCATATCTTTTCTCGAGACTTATAATACGAACGGACGGACAAACAGCCATTCATAAAGGGGTTTCACTCCAAAAATAATAATGATCAATGATGTGTGCTCAGATTCATCCATACAAACTTAATGTGCGTACGTGGAGAGCTACGTTCCAACTACTGTTTGATCAACATGAAGAACAAGTCAAACATTCGAATTTGCGTATTTTTATTTTACATGTCCATATTTTCCAAAGGGGACCTGCACAAAAAACGCTACCGATTTTCCACCAAATACAAATTGAAAGACTAGACTTTTCAATTTGTTGAAAATGAGATTTTAAAATTAAAAATCACGTAAAAAAATCCGGATTATTTCAAAAATACAATTCGTTCAAAAAAGTTATTAAAGCTTAAAGTTTGATTCTGAAAAATTCAGTAATCAATAAATCTCAACGCATATTGTATTATGCATATTTTTTACACAATCCTGCTGAAAATTTCTGAGTTTTATTCTGAAGAACAGTCTGTCCATAAGTTTCCTGAACAAATCGCTCTGCATAAAGCTCTTCTGCACAAAATTTGGCCAAATTTCCGCCCAAAATCATGCCAAATTTCTACAGGAAACCCGTTAAAATTTTTACTCGGGAAAATCTACCTCAATTTTGATCCCTACATCATTTCTGCTCGTCCCCCCTCCACACACACATCAATTTACACACATACACGCTAAATAGGTAAATAAAGTCCATGCCTGCATTTCTCTTTCTATGCAACTTTCCTCCTCCTGGTCAAATGAATGAATGGATGAATGAATTTCTAGCAGAAAACAGGGCTGGGTTTCATGCCCTCGAGATACATGCAAGTATTTTGGTCAGTAGTATGTCTTTTTTTGCGAATAATAATCAACTCATCTCATGCAAATAACTATCTGCACAGACACTAAAAACTTTTACTAACAACAGGTCGTAAAACAATCAAGTTTTTTTGACGCGATCAAATTTTCTCCCACATTTTCTATTTGTTTACATACATTGTTGGGCATGAATTCATTTAAAAAATGGATGCATGTGCATTTTTATAATTTCCCCAGCGAGTGACCACATATCAAGTCATCACCCATTCAACCACCACCAAAACCGCGATGCAATAATAATGATGATGAATTTGAGATTCGTGTAAGACGACGCCATGCAGAAGGGATGGATGCCCAGTTTTTTACAAACTTTAAGGGTAACCAGTACCGTATGAAAATCGACCAGGTAAAAATTTGCGCATTTTTATGCACATTTTTTTCTGTCCAAACATTTTTGCGGAATAAATTATGTAGAAATTTTATGCCCAGAATTCTGAACAAACTGCACAATTGTTTCTGCTTGAACTTTTTTTGCAGGATGGGTTTCTGTGGATTGATAAATTACGTAGAAGTTTTATGCCCAGGTTCAATCTGCACGCAGAAAAATGCACTGTTACTTTCGTAACCTTTGCAAAAAATAGATGCCATATTTTACAAATATACAATGCTCCCTCCCAAAATTTGCTAACTTTAATGGATCTAAACAAACAAGGGGACTTTATTTCTCTGCGGAGAGATGAATTATGCAGACATTTTATGCCCAGGATTTCCTGCACAGTAAAATATGGGCACCAATTTCGAAAATTTTCGTACTCTGTTCTGCATAACCCTTGCAAAAAATAGATGCCATATTTTTTGCAACGCCCCTCTCCCAAAATTTTATCACATTAGTGGATCTAATCAAACGAGGAGACTTTTGATCTTGAATGAAATTTCACACGTGTGCGGATTCAAGTTTCTAATAATTTTTGCTACATATCAATCAATCTCATTTATTTAGTGCGATGGTCATCAGTCCGTCTTGTTTTGTCGTCGTGGCTTTCCAAGTAGATCAAGTTTTGTCATTTCTCACTCAAAATTTTATCTTTTTTCCTGCCTGGGAAGATTTTGAAGTCGAGATCAGTCAGCTCTCATACTAAATATTTTGACCGAGTGGAAGAAGTGGATGGATTTCGAGGTGTGGATTCAATTTAAATCTGCCAAAAATTGCTTTTCTTCGCGTGGTTTTGGTTTTTGGTTTGTGGTTTTGGTTTCAGTTTTAGTTTTACAAGACAGACAGACTACGATAGCACAGTGACTATTACTTTTTACTTATTTATGTAAATACATCGTGTCATACACGCCTAAAGTATCTTATTTTTTTGGTATTGGCTAATTTAAAATCGTGGCTTAATTTCGACCGATACGAAATTTGTAGATAAATACAAACAAAAAATTACACGATTTACGTAAATATAGCATTTTTACGTGTGTAAAATGGGTTGTCAGCTAAATAGGTAAATAGGAACAAAAACATTACACGATTTACGTAAATATAATACTTTTACTTTTATAAAATGGGACAAATTGGGGTGCAATTTAACGGGGAACAAATTGACAAAATTTAAAAAAATACTGGAAAGAGACATTAAGTTTTGTTGGAATATAAAAATTAATATCACAAATTGTGCCATCTGATAAGAAAAATGGATAAAATTTTAAAAAATATGCAATTGAAAAAGAACGTGTACTGATAATTTAAATATTTATAAAGCAATAATTTAAAAAGCTGAATTTAGTGAGAATATGCAATTTTTTACAAATTGTGCAGTTAAATACGTAAAAAAGTGACAAAATTTTGAAAAATACTGGACATTAAATTTGGTGAGAATATATAACGGTATAAAAATTAATATCCCAAATTGTGCCGTTTAAGAGGAAAAAAGTGAATACAATTTTGAAAAATTGTGAGAATAGGGTCTCACTTTTTTTGTGTATGACACGGGAGAAGAATTTGAAGTGGACAAAATTTTGAAAAATATCTGACATTGTGAGAATAGGGTTACATATAAAAATTGGACAATTTTTTGTACCACACGGAAAACAGTGTAGAATTTGGAAGAATGAAGCGACTCCCCCGATTTGGAGCGTCGTGGGATTCTAAACAAATCGGCAAAACGTCGACGACCAAAATGCTACCTGGTGAGGCCGCCTTTTTCATTTATTTAACTAAATAATTAAGCCCACTAATCAGAACAGTCTTACTTTTTATTCGTGCCTCTCATTCGGAGGGTTGGGCAAAAAGGATGTCGGAAATTGGAATATTTTCAGGTCCAGTTTTTCAAATTAAGAAGATTGTGACATTTTACTGTTTTTTAGTCCAGTTTTTTTCAATTTTTTCATATTTTGGACAAAACGGTGTAAAATTTTATCAACAAATTTTGATTCCCTGTTATGCAAGTTATGCATTGGAAAATTGTGACATTTTTCCATTCTTTAGTCCAGTTTTTTTCAATTTTTCATAATTTTTATGAAATTTGGTATGAAATTTTACCCTTAGGACGGTACCTGATTGTAATTAAGGTTATTAAAAACACCTCTAAAACATATGTATCACATCCTTTGTGCACGTGTATTTTGAAATAAAAGTTGGTCCCCGTCGTCACCGGTCATGCTATTTTGGTCGAAACGAAGGTGAATGGAAATTCCAAGCGAGGCGTATTCTTTTCGAGATGGGAAGCTCAATAGAGCGTGGTCTTCGTCGTGGTCGGAATAATTTGCATGGTGCGAACCAGATATCATCAAAGAAAAGTAACACGTCTCGTTAATTAGTCCGCAATTATGTTCTGCAGCCTGAACTAAATACAAATACATGAGTAAAAGTAAGTAGATATTTACAAAAGCTACAGTAAAATTCGCCAATTTTAGCAGCGATACGTATCGCGATACAATGTGCAAATATTGTACCAAATTAAAGAATCCCAATTACACAAGTTTTTGCAAATTTCGTAAAAAAACATTAAAACTGAAAATAATTTTATTTTTCCACACAATTCGTACCATTGCAAATTTACTGGGTGTGTGTTCAAAATTTGCAAATATAGCATGCAACAAATTATATCGCCCTTATTTACATATCCATTACAAAATTTTGTACTAATTTTGAAGAAAAAAGAAAAATAATATGTAATTTTCCTAATAAAGATCGTAAAATTTTCAAAATTGGCACCTTTTTCAAAAGCAGTTTTACACATGTAAAGTCATATAAAATATGCAAATGATGCTATAAATAACATCACCCACCATTCAGACATCAATTTATTTCCGGTGTAGACCTTTTCTTAAATAGTTTCCCTCTCATTACGAGAAAACAATGTAACAAAACATAAATATTTTGCAATTTCTTTAGTAAAATAGTGAAATAATAAGTGATCCCTTGCACATATTACGTTATAAAGTTTTTGTTTAAAATCAGGATTTAAAATTTTTTTACCATCCAAAATTTTCATAAGAAAAAAATGTTTTCCAATATTAGCTATAAAATTTCTCAAAATTTTAAAACATTAACTTCGTAATGAAATATTTATGGACTTCCCCTGACATAAAATTTACGACGGGACGGTCACTTATTCGTCGTAAAGATGCTGCTACATACGTAATGCGACTAATGTGTTGGAAGGTATTGCTAATTTAATCAAACATTTCGCTTTCCTTTTGTCACTTGCTCACTTTTCAGCTTTACTTACTCATTAGTTACTTAACTTTCCTAATTTTTCAACGACAACAACAACACAACTCCACTTTTTCTAACCTGTCCCACCAAGTGACGCGTTCTGAGATGCAAAAAAGACTGTCTTGTGCTCGTAATACTTTAATAATTCTGCGACAATTACGAGTATTTTATTAAATTTGGTTAAAGTCTGTAACGTTTAGATGAGTGGGTGGATGATGTCATATTTTATTTTTCACCATAGTAGAAATCAGTGCGTCGAATTATGCAGTAATCGACAAAGGGTTGATGCATAATTGTAGTATGCATAATTTTGTACACTTGATTCTGCAGAAAATTTCGATGGGTTTTGTTTGTATGTGCATAATTCGGCACGGTTTTCTGCATAAATCGCTCTGCATAAGGTTTGTCTGGAGAAAATTATTATGCAAATTTATGCAGGAAATCGGCCCAAGTTTCTACAGGAAAAAGTTGTTTAAATTTTTAAGGGTTTCGTTTTTCCATTGTAAAAAAACATGTTTTTTCATAGGACAGGTTGGGAAGATGCGAAAAAGTCGGTGTTTTTTATGCTAATTAAACACGTGACATCTTAAAACACACCTTTTCCCATTTATTGTATGTAAAAAGTTTGATAAAACCACACTTTCTCCCATCTGGTTTTTTTCAGCCGTAACCCTACCGGTCCCACCCTTACGCATGTCATCCCATCCGCAGTAGCATTGACACATTTATGCGTCAATAATACAGACATGTTAAGTGGAGTTAAATAAGTCAGTGGCTTGAAAATTTGGACAAAATTAGTCTTCAATCCATCGAATTGCTCAATAAATAGGATACGATAATTGACTTACGTGCATAATAATTCCATGCAAAATTGGTTTTCGCACACCTACACACGTGAAAGTTTTGTCTTTGCGATTGTTTATTTAATCCACTAATTATTATTTGGAGGCAAAAAAGAAGAATTTATTCATCCAAATTTAAAATGAATACCGAGTGACGAGCAAGTCTCATTTTTAGCCTGATGAGACAAAAAATTATGGCACATCGTTACCACGTCAGTGCTAATCTGCCTCAGGTACTAATTCCAGTGGAACGAAGTCTGTTTTCTAAAAAGTAATTAACTCAAGCTTCCTTCGGCCAAGTACTAATTCATCTCGCTCGACGTGGTATTTACCACAAGACAGCCAGGGTTTAATTGAACTGGGCTGTGTTTCAGGTGCAAGTAACCACTTGCAAGAAATAACTGCAAGAAAGTGTTTCTTTTTGCTACTATTTTGACCTGCACGAAATGGATGACGCATATTTACTGCACTTCCTTGCACCGGTATTACTTGCATTGCTTGCTTTCCAGTGCAAAAAATGTAGTAAACCTGCAAGAAACGAAAAACTGAAAATTTTAATTTTCACCCTGTTTATCTTGGACTTAAAATATAAGGCACTACATGTATGTAATCTAGGTGTGATATTTCTGTGATTTTTGTGATATTACTGGGGAAAGTGATACAACTTGTTTAAAATATATTCTAGCACAAAACCCACCTGATATTCGGATTCAGCCCGAAATTCTGAAGATTTTCCATCCGACTTGCGCCGATTAGAACAAAGTTAAAGCTTGCATTTAATTTGTATCTTAAAGATGAAAGTTGGTGAAAAAGCAGGTCGAGTTACGGGTGAAAATGCGCAGAATTTTGTGCTGAATCTGAACATCAAGCTAATCTTAATCTAAAACGTATATTCCAACAAATCACCTATTTCACAGAAATCACGTATGATTTTAACCACTGTCATATAATTTTCCAAACCCTCACATCTCACAAGATTATTTACTTACTTACAAGAGGCGAGTGAGAAAAAAGACGTGTGAGATGAGATGAGAGATGCCACGCGGAGAGGAAAATGAGACGATCGGTCAATCCGAAGAATGGAAAGCAAAAGTATGAGCGATATATGAGCCCTGCAAAAAGGACGCTATACATTTTTCCCACACATTCTCCGCTTCATCTTCATATGATTTTAATCATAGAAATATTTCCTGTGACGTTTTTTGAGTCAAAAATTCATCAAAAAACGAGGATTTCCAACAAATTTTCCATTCCATTTTGATGTCAAACATGGCGTTTAACATATTTTATTAAAACATGATTTTTGTCTTAAGAATCCACCGAAAAATTTAGACCACTCCAAAAATAAAATTAAGCTCTCCCCGTTCATAAGAAACTCTCCAAGTTTTATTTTTAAATTTTGACCTTCAATAACTTTCTGCCTAATAATTTTAGTTTTGAAATAATCACAATTTGTGGATTGATTTTTAACCAAAAAATCCCCACGATTATAAAAATCCACACCAACATGCCCTACATAAAACCAGCATAGTCTCCTTATTACGAAATTAATCCGTCACTCCAGGCAATTTTTGTTATTCATCCTCCAAATTCCAGTCTTATACCACTCGACATAACAAATTCACACAATTTTCCACCTTCGTCGCCATCCCTTAACAAAATCCAATAGATAGATTCAAATCCTCTCGGCTTTTTAAGTTCCTCAGCCTCAACCGGATTTTATTGTGGTTTGAAATGCATCCCATCGCATCGCATGGCATCACTACCTTACTTACTTTTTACATCTCCCCACGCCACGTAGATACCAGAGATGAATGGTTAGTTTTACATTACTGACATTGCATTACAGGGATCATCATTCCCTAGAAGAAGAGAAGGTTTCTTGTGATGTGAGCTACTACCTGAATTCTGCTCGTGGTGGTGGCAATAGAAAATATTTACAAACCTGTTCAACAGGTAGTACAAGAAATCTTGAATGGCCAACTTGCCTTCATTCCACTCCCAGACGTTCGTCAGGACGGAGCTTAGTCCACTAAATTCTAGGTTAAAGGAATACAAAAAAGTGGAAATTATCATAAATAAGTGGTGTCTTAAACCCAACATTTTTTTTGGATTGTGTTTTCATTTTTCAGTGTGTTTTTTGTTCCGTGTCGGAATTTTGGATACGTGAATTAAAAAAATATGATTACCACGGTAATTTTCCACCCCAAGGTGGGCAATCAGCCAGTCATGGCTGGAAATTCGGGACAGGTTGACCTCACCTGAGAAGTGTGACCTCAATATTAATAAAAGTGACCTTAACTTTTCTCTTCTGCTGAACAAGTTTGTTTGTTTGCTCAATTTTGAGAGAGAAAAGCAGTGAGTGGAGTGCTCGGTTTTTATTTGTGTGAAATCTGTTGGAATTTTAGTGATAAAAGTTTTTGAAGAAGAAATTTTTTTACCCGAGAAAAAACGGGAGGATCCAGAAATAAATAATAATAATAAAAAGTAAGTGGATTTATTTTGTCACATATTATTTGTCACGGCGATGATGACAGTTTTTGTGGTTATAAGAAGACATGAACCTACTCTGGCGAGGAGGAGATTAAGGCTGACTTTTCATGTAAAATGCAAAGGGCTGTCCGTAA